TTTTGAGTGTTTTTGTAACTAAATTAACATGGCTCGAATGAACCGCCCAGCTCCCGTGGAAGTCACACACAAGAGCATGAGATTCCTCATCACTCACAACCCAACCAATGCAACCTTAAACAAGTTTATAGAGGTAAGAGCAGATACTTTCTAATGTACTAAATTGATGGTGGTATGAGGCTTACGGTTACCAAAAGACCCTTTTAGAAAATATGAGATGATACATCTTCGGATACACTTCCTAGGGATGAAATGTTGGTGTGTTCGTTAATGAGAGGTAAATTATTTTACACAGATTGACGGGGATGTGTTTGTAGATGTATAACTGAATAGCGGATGGTTCGGGCCTTTGAGTTTGCTGAACTTAAATTATATCAGTGGAAAGTTGAACAATGTAGCCCTCACTTGAAAGCAATTTTAAGGCACAAGGCTATTAGAGATTTGTGTCCTGCCTGCTTAGCCTACTGCCATGAACCAAATGTCCTGGGCTGCGCACGGTGCTTAGAATCCAATTCTTAGCAGTCATTCCCCTGCTTCCTGCTGGGGAGTTGTAGCTGTCATTATCTAGCTGCCTCCTTTTCCTAGGAGGGAAGGGATGTAATGCTTGCCCTTTTTTTTTTTTTTTTTTTTAAGCGGGAACCGAGGGTTGAACTCAGGCCCTTGAGCTTGCCAGGCAAGCGCTTATTCTACTGAGCTGTCTCTCAGCCCAGTGCTTTCTGATTTACCTGAATGTGCATTTTATTTCATAAATGTATTAATATCAGAAAAGTTATAATGAGTAACGTATTTTAAATCCTGTAGTTTTAAATGATAGGTTTAAAACTTACTGTACTGGCTGGTGAGATGGCTCAGTGGTCTAAGGCACCTACTTAGAAAAAGCTCAGCAAAGCACATGGACCGCAGTTCAATCCCCCAGCACCACATGCCAGCCAGCCCCGCCCCCAGGTGGGCTGAGCTGGCCACACACACACACACACACACACACACACAATAAATTAATTAATTAATTAATTTTA